CTGCCAATGTTAAAATATTATAATCTTTAAAAATTTGTCGGCATGACGTTCGATTATTAACCCCACTGATAATTCAAAGGACCTTTTTTTGCAGTTTAAATAATGTGTCACATTCATTATCCCCTCCCCATAATATAATGCATACCCCATAATACATTTAAGAATGATGCTTACACTCATGAGACATTAACTTTATGTATCCATTGTCTTTCCTGTTGCTTAAAAGAATGAAGTCTGAAACAGATTATTCTTATGTCTTATAACCTGATCATCTTCTCATGATAAGTTAAAGTTCATGTGGATCATACAAGAACAACCACACTTTGCCAAGCAACCAGATGCTGTCTTTACACTTTCAAAATTGTGCAGATGATAATGATCGCATGCTGTCTATCCTTCCCGTAACTCTCAAGACACGACAAATGATGACACAGGCTTAGAGATGTAATGATTGTATTTCGTATACCTCCGAAGTTCAAGGTGACCTTGTTGATTAGCAAGAAATGAAATTATGGAAGTTCAAATTAATTATTATAAATTGTAATTTATTGAAGAAAACATAAATCAAAAGAAGTGACCAACTTAAAGTAATTAATTAGCTCTCCTTCACAAGAATAACAGCCTCTGTTCACCAGTCTTTACAATTTGTAATAGCTCATGGGAACCACCAATATACAACAGTTGCTGTTTAGTGATATAATTCCTGTTTATTCTGAGTATAATCAAAACAGAGTGTTTTAATGCTAGTAGGTAAACCTATAGTAACTGCTGTGCTTTGGAAGGTTAAAATGCTGACCCTTCATTCTCTGAACTGAAGATCAGGACAGAGAAGAGACTATTGGCACCCAAGAAATGCAGTGTTCGTGGGATCAGTGTGTTGCAATGGAGGAAAGGCTAAGAGAACCATTTCCTAGTGCAAGTCTTTCCTCAAAAGAATTCTGTGAACTTAAAGTGAGATTTTGTGAAAGATGGTGGGAGCTGTGTGGGTGCCAGACAACTGTAAAAAGAAAGTAAATGTAAAGTTATCCCTGTGCTTAACCAATCAAGCACTATGCCATGAAGGGTATGTGGGAGTGGATGTATAGATCCACATTTTATTGGCTTCGGCACTAGTTGGAAGTGAGTGGTCAGCTTCATGCGCCTACTGCTTTACCCTTTGGATGGGAGGTTGGGTGGGCCCCAGGGATGGTTTTGATGATGTAGAGAAGAGAAAATTCTTGACCCTAGTAGGACTTAAAATCTGACCTCTCGGTCATCCAGCCCATAGCCAGTTTCTATACTGACTACACTGTCCCGGCTCCTTGCCAGACAGTTGTACCTAAGAATATTATCTGCATAAATCACAAAATTATTTTTCACTGTGACGGAAGATTGCGTTGTTGGGTTTGAGTTTCTCACAGTGGTGACTATGAAAGGTACTCTTTTGTGGGACTTAAAGTTGTATAGTCTGATAGAAATTCACTGACATTTCAGAGGAACATAACAGTACTTCCCTCATCTTCAGTGTTGAAAAGTAAGCCAAGCAGATGGTCAGCAAGAAACAAGTGGAAAGCAAGGAATTTTCTTTTATCCTCTGTTATTATAGAGTGTGATAACTATGATGTCCACTAGAGTGCTCTCTTCCTATGAAACTCATGAGAAATTCAGATGGGAAGTACAATTCCAGTTTTCTCTGGAAAGCAAAATCTGTTTTGTAATTTTTCTATTTAATTATGGAAACAAATTAAAGTGAAAAATTCAGATGGAAATATATTTACCACAAACTAATGCATATACAGGGTGTCCCAGGAGGAATGTGCCAAACTTCGGGAGGGTGTTCCTTATGTTAAAGTATGCCGATATAACCCAAAACACCTATGTCCAAAGTTGAACGGTTACGGAGATAATGGCCCGAGAAAAGTGTGGTCTTCTTGCAGGTCCACGCACTATACGTACCTGTCAGCTGAGACCCTTATCTGTTTGTCCTTGAGTGCCGCGAGTCACACTAGCGTAAGCTCATGCGCTGCCTACAGATTACGTTGCAGTGGGGTCGTGAATGGGTGGTAAATTAGTTGTGTGATGAGTTGCTGAAATGCCTTTTGTGTTTTCACACGTCGAGTATTGTGATATGCATTTTGTGTATGGATTTTGCGGTGGCAATGCACGTGCTGCTGTTGAAGAGTACCAAAGGCGTTTTCC